GACAGGTGAGCTCTCCAGAGGAAAGCTAGAACATCTCTGCTGCAGACGTTCATCATTCCCACCACGTGATACGGGAACATTGCTTTCCATAACGCCGGCTTCAGATTGGTGCTGCGAGGCATTAGTAAACTGAACTAACCTAACCTGAGGCACCGTCACACTTTCTCAGCAACTTAACTGTTTAAGAAAATCACTAAATTAGCGTCCTTAGCGAGCTGTGGGCTCTCCATGATGCAAGCATGTGTTCTTCACTCACAGTGTGTTTACACACCATTCTGCATCACTAGCTATAGTTAATACAAGGACGTTTGGGTAACAACGTCTCTATTGAGGCCACTGAATGAATCAAACTGAATCAGCAGACAGCATCATGTTTTATCTCTCCAGAAGCTGCTTTTACATGTTAAATGAACTGAGTCAGGACTGGGAGGATGGGTTGCCATGGCTCTTGCAGTCAGTTGGGGAGCTGCAACTCTCGACCACAGAAAGCAGGTTGTGTCATGTTTGTTGAAGCTGTACTGCTGTCACGATGCATCTGGAACTGCTGAGCTGTGTAGAGGACTCCTGTATATATTTGCTCTTTGGCAGTGGCCAGTTTGGGGCATGCTATGGCGAAACATGGCTTACAAGATGTCAGGGATTCAGACGACCTGCTGTATGAGCTGAAAATCTGATAAACTAATATTTTAAACTGGTTCATTCAAAGTAAACAATGTCCTCTCCTTTGCTCTGAGGATGGGATTTAGTTTGTGTGCAAGTTTAAGTTGTTGTTGACGGGGTAGAGGCAGGTCCCACTCTTGCTGTGTGCACATGAGATCTCTGCACTCATTGCTCCATCTGGACTATATGAATGTACAGGAATGAGATTGGGAACGCCGCTGTAACATCCCAGCTTCTGAACATGGTCATGGTTGGAAAGGTGTTCAGCATGTTTGGATGATTTGGTAGCTTATACCAAGTAACAGGATGTGCATATTCAGCACATTATGGGCCTGTTTGATGGTTTGGCTGGAACACGTTTCACTGTCAGTGTGGTTAAATGTGACTTTGCAAAGGCAACAGTGATTTATCACAGCACAGTGCAGGGCTCGCAAAATTTCAAAATCCCTGGTAGCCCTTCGGGCAGG